CGCAAGGGAATGGAAATAGAGATTCTATACCCATAGGCATTCTTTTACCAAACCTAAATTAAAACATCAGACAGCTTTTTCAAAAGAAAATTTGGAATTGAAGGAAAAAAGATTTGAACCCACAGATAGATTGGAAGATTATAGGATCCGTACATATTCCTAATAGTCTTAGAGATAGGTGTAAATTATGTTTAGAAGAAAAAAATAAAATAAGAAAATACAATAATCAAAGCCAACTTTTGAATAAATGGAATGAATTAGTTTTAAAATACCGACATAAAAACAAATTAAAATTTCCATTGTATTGATTTTACTTTAACTACTATATTTCTCCAAATCTTCAAGTGTCGAATGTATAACTAATTCTACTTTCTATATTTCCATTTTTACACCATATTAATTATATCTTCTAATTACCCCTGTTCTAAGAACTCTCTTTCCCTTTATCACTTACATCTCTTTATCTATATATTTTAGGTTTTTTAAATATAACTTTGTAGTTTTATGTATTTTTGAAGTACAATTATATATTTCTTTTAAAATATAACTTGGTTTTGATTTAACTTATTTTTAAACGTGTAATTTATTTTATCTTATGTTTTTATTTTAAAATATTTTTTATACTTTCTTATTATTTTCATATTAATTATAAATTTAAAAAAAATAAATTTTAATATAAATTATCTAAATATAACTTATTTTAATTTATTTAAATATATCTTATTTTTAAATAACTTATTTGGAAGAGTATTTTAAAGTAGGAATTTATATTTTTAAATCTAACCTTATCTATATAAATTAAAACACCCTTTTTTGTCCCTCTCTTAGTTTCAAATTAACGCTTCATTCTTCATACAACCCCAATTTAATGTCATAAGGTTAATATCAGGGATTCATTTTATAAAATCTCCACCCTCCCCCTGACCACTGCCTCGTGCATTTCGTCTGACTAAAACATTGAAATAGATAAATTCGGTATTAGTTTTTCGACAGCTGTCTCAGTTAAATATCTAATTCCGACACGAACTCAGTCTATATACCGGGGTTGAATAAGACTGACGAAGTTTTCGTCGGTTGAAATAGATCTATTCTCCATATGAGGTGATTTTGGATTTTATTATGTACTAATTAATTTGCTCTGTAATAATAAATACATTGAGCTCTTTTTGTTGATCAGTTTTAATATTTTACATTACTAGGATTATATACCAAAGGATTTACTACCTTTACTATACACACACACACACACACACACACACACACACACATATATATATATATATATATATATATATATATATATATATATATATATATATATAATGTCTCATTAAATGATTCACAGAAGTTTTGTCTACTTATCCTCACGTAATTGCAGACAAATTTCTTAGTAGCCTTATTAAAGGAAGAATAACATTACCATGCTGATGCATATTCATTTTATTCTGAGTACTTTCGACATTAGCAAAATATCATCATCAGGGTCTTGTTTATTTCTAACACAAATTGTTGTGTTCATCTGAACATTTAATTTTTACTTGTGTACTGTGCGATTTTAAAATGTTATGATGTAAACAATCGTCAAGAGAGGTAACTAATGTTTTGAGATAAATATTTAAAAAAACTATTTAAAATATTAGTTTAAACCTGGATATTTTAAACTATCTACTGTAAATATTTTAAAATATTTGTACAGTATTTATAATTAATTTATACTAAAAGTTGATTTTAATTTTTTAATATAGAATTTGTAGTTTATGTTTATTATTTTCATGAAAAAGAATAAATGTATTTTCACGAGAATTTTCTTAAATTGAGAATGTGGACAGGCATTCTGTTGAAAATGTTGAAAGATGTTAAATGCATCCTTCAAATGAAAGCTAAACATACATATAAATCCATCAATAAAAACAGTATTCAATATATATATATATATATATATATATATATATATATATATATATATATATAAAATGGAACTAATGCTTTTAATTTAATTGCAAAATTAAATTCAAGGTTTTTAGCTTCTATTTTTGAAAACATGGTTTGAACTGTGTAGCGAAAAAAAAATATATTTTAAATCAATTTATATATATATATATATATATATATATATAATAAATTATAAAAATAATGAAATGGATAAAGTCCGAAAATTATTTTAAGATATTTTCATACTTTCTTTTTATAGATACAAATATTTAAGTAAATGTTCTCTTTATAATAAACAATATTTACTGGCCTGAATGTCCGAGAGATTTTCACAGAAAATATTCGTCCTCCGACAGGATTCGAACCTGTATCCTATACGGAACCGTCATTTAGCTTGACGTGCCTTCAACCGATTTGGCCACAGAGGAGAGTTCGGTCAATGTAAGCAAAGACGTCACATATGAAATGGACAAAGTTCGACAATTATTTTAAGACATATTTATGTTTATATATTCTTTTTATAGATACAAATATTTAAGTAAATGCTCTGTTTATAATGAACAGTATAGGATACAGGTTTGAATCCTGTCGGAGGACCAATATTTTCTGTGGAAATCTCTCAGACATTCAGGCCGGTAAATGTTGTTTAATACTGTTTATTATAAACAGAGCATTTACTTAAATATTTGTATCTATAAAAAGAATGTATAAACATAAAAAATCTATATATATATATATATATATATATATATATATATATATATATATATATATATTAATGTTTTATTAAATAATTTAGAGAGGTTTTGTCTACTTATTTCTAATAGGAACCTCTGATAACTGACATCTATTATACATGGCACGTGGAACTAAAACCGTCTTCCCCAGCGAGCGAAATAAAACGGTCCCGTTCGACATTCCAATCACCTGAAGAAGGCCGGAACGTACAACGGCCGAAACCATGTGTTAAATATGACAACAGAGATGAGGATGATAGTCTGAACAATGTAAATAATGTACATAATACCTCATCTCAGAAATAGAAAGATAATGAAGAACAGTATTGAGTAAAATTAATTCTTTTCAGAAAACGAAACGAATTACGTCGAATTTTTCCCACTTCTTCATTTTTAATTCTGACTTCACTTCTTTACACAAATAATTCCATCAATAAAACATTTTTGGCCAATAAAGATACAGTTTTGTTCACTTTGTCATTGATTTTCATAAAATTGTTCTGATTTATAGAAATATACAGATAATATTTTTCATATCGATATATATATATATATATATATATATATATATATATATATATATATATATATGAAGAAAAAATATACGGAAAAAACAAAACAAAAATCCTTATATACAATTAAGCTGTTTTAATGTTAATATGTCAACGTCGGACGTTTCCCGGTCTACTAAACCATATTCAGGACATATTCATGAATTATAACATTATCAATTCAACATGACAAAGAGACGATGTTACATAAGAACAAGACTTATCCAAACAGATAACTGAAAGTTTTATAAGATCAGCGCTCTGTTTAAAACATAAACGAGATATTCGCCTCGAAATTTAAACAATGATATTGTTGTACACACAACTGAAGCAGATCATAATTTCGATTTTGATTCCGTGAAGATTTTAAAAATATTTCATAATAAAAATCTTAGGCGGATTTATGAAGCAGGCATAATATCCATCTCACGCACCGTGAATACTAGACCTGGCTTCTTTAGTATTTCCCCCTTTTCTAGCGAGATTAATGATCGACAAGCGTACATATAAGTTTTAGATCAAAATAAAATTCTTTTCATTTTTCATTCAAAATACTCAAATTTTAGGAATACGTTTTCACAGCATCGCCCACGTGACAACAACGTGACCATGTTTTAAACAGAGCGCTGATCTTATAACACTTTCAGTTATTTGTTTGGATAAGTCTTGTTCTTATGTACATCGTCTTTGTCATGTTGAATTGATAATGTTATAATTCATGAATATGTCCTGAAGATGGTTTATTAGACCAAAACGTCCGACGTTGACATCTTAACATTAAAACATAATAATTGTATATAAGGATTTTTGTTTGTTTTTTCCGTATATATTTTTCTTCATACTGTCTGATCTATATCCATATATTTGCTTACATATATATATATATATATTTATATAAAACTAGGTAATCCGTATGAGTAAAACCTAAGGAGGATAAAATCCAGAGAGCTCAATGTAAATTCAGAGCAAATAATTTAAATAAAAACAGACCACTTTAAGGTTCCATGTAATAAATTATTTCACTACAGCCCTTTTAAAGGACTGCGGATCATCAGACTTTACTTCCAAACCCTAATCAGGACTGCGGATCATCAAACTTTACTTCCAATATATATATATATATATATATATATATATATATATACCGGGTCTAACAGTAAAAATGTCCAAATGGTGTAGCAACATAGTTGTCATCACACAAACTGAGTTTCTTTTTTGCAGGTTTTCAGATGAGATGTTTAGCCATCTGGACACCGTTTGTCGTAAGAAACACTTAAAAACCCTTTGACTTATTCAGCTAGAAAGAGAATAGATTAAAATTGTTTTCTGTCAGACCCACTGTCTTACCAACTGAGCAATGGTGAGAAGGAAAAGATCATTCAGGCCTTCAAAATGGTAGTACTATTCCTATTCCGGCTTCCATTCAAGAATCATCAAAGGAACGGTTAATAAGTTTATAAAAGAGGAGACAATATAGAGAAAAACTGAATCGGGAGATCACAACAGGAAAAGGGACCAACATTTCAAATTAGAGCTTAAGAGATCGATTAGAAAAGATCCAACTCAGTTCATAAGACGTTTTATTTCTTCTGTATATTTTATTGTTCTCTTTCTTTTTTACGGTTTCATGCTTTCTTTCTGTTGGTTTTTCTTTCTTTCATTAATTTTTTATTTATTTCTTCTTTATAATTTATTTTCTTTTTAATCTCTTTGTTAGCTTCTTTCTTTTTTTATATTTTTTCTTTCTTTTTTATAATTTCATCATTTCTTTTCTTATAAGTTTCCTTCTTTTTTTTTTTCTTATAATTTTCTTTTTTTTTTTATAATTTCCTTCTTTTTTTTTTCTTTAATTTCCTTCTTTCTTTTTTCTTATAATTTCCTTCTGTTTTTTTATAATTTCCTTCTTTTCTTTTTTCTTATAATTTCCTTCTTTTTTCTTTTTTTTTTTTTTATTTCTTTTCTTTTTCTTTCCTTCTTTTTCTTTTCTTTTTTCTTTTCTTCTTTTCCTAATTTCTTTTTCTTTTTTTTCTTTTCTTTTTTTCTTATAATTTCCTTCTTTTTTTTTTTTTTTCCTTTTTTTTTTTCTTATAATTTTTCTTCTTTTCTTATAATTTCCTTCTTTTTCTTTTTCTTATAATTTCCTTCTTTTTCTTTTTCTTATAATTTCCTTCTTTTTCTTTTTCTTATAATTTCCTTCTTTCTTTTTCTTATAATTTCCTTCTTTTTCTTTTTCTTATAATTTCCTTCTTTTTTTTTTTCTTATAATTTCCTTCTTTTTCTTTTTCTTATAATTTCCTTCTTTCTTTTTCTTATAATTTCCTTTTCTTTTTTTTTTCCTTCTTTCTTTTCTTATAATTTCCATTTTCTTTTCTTTTTCCTTTTTTCTTTTCTTATAATTTCCTTCTTTTTCTTTTTCTTATAATTTCCTTCTTTTTCTTTTTCTTATAATTTCCTTCTTTTTTTTTCTCATAATTTCCTTCTTTCTTTTTCTTATAATTTCCTTCTTTTTTTTTTTCTTATAATTTCCTTCTTTCTTTTTCTTATAATTTCCTTCTTTTTCTTTTTCTTATAATTTCCTTCTTTCTTTTTCTTATAATTTCCTTCTTTCTTTTTCTCTTTTTCTTTTTTTCTTTTCCTTCTTTTTCTTTTTTATAATTTCCTTCTTTTCTTTTTCTTATAATTTTTCTTTTTCTTTTTTATAATTTCCTTTTTCTTTTTCTTTAATTTCTTTCTTTCTTTTTTTTTTATTTTTTCCTTTTTTCTTTTCTTATAATTTCTTCTTTCTTTCTTTTTCTTATAATTTCCTTCTTTCTTTTTCTTATAATTTTTTTCTTTTTCTTATAATTTCCTTCTTTTTTTTTTCTTATAATTTCCTTCTTTTTTTCTTTTTTCTTTTAATTTTTTCTTTTCTTATAATTTCCTTCTTTTTTCTTTTTTTCTTTCTATTTTTTCCTTCATTTTTTCTTTTTTCTTATAATTTCTTATTTTTATTTCTTTCTTTTTCTTATAATTTCTTTTTTCTTTTTTATAATTTCTTTTCTTTTTTTTTTTTTTTTTTCTTTTTCTTATAATTTTCTTCTTTTTTTTCTTACCGTTCCTTCTTTTTTTTATAATTTTTCTTACTTTCCTTCTTTTTTTTCATTTTTCTTTAAACTTTCTCTAATTTTCTTTTCTTTCTTTTCCCTCTTTTATTTTCTTTCTTTCTCTTAATGTCCCAATTTCTTTCTCTTTTCTTTTAATTTTTCTTTCTTCCTCAAATAAGATCAGTCTTGCAGGAAAAGGAAAGACCTTTCTTCAGATTCCAAGACGTTCTAAGATCAGTTGAGTCTATCTAATTTTTATTTATTTATTTCTTTCTTTTTTTTTCTTTCATTCTGGGTTGTATAATTTCTTTCTTTCGATTCCTTTTTTTCTTTTTAAATAAAAAGGATTTTCTTCTTCTTTTTTCTTATTGACTCACGAAGACCAAATTTTTTAAATTTCCTACCCTGATTTTAAGATTCTTCAGTCTTGCAAAAGGGTTTCAGACTTTCTTAGTTCTGCTATTATTACTAACAAATTCCAAGGCACCAAGACACTTACTAAGATCAGTTGAGTCTGGCACTCCTTGTGTGTGTGCTGTGTAATAAGACAATTTTCTTGAGGACTTTCAATGTATTTTTTGTTCGATTTTACCTTCGTACTAGTGAACTGGTCAAACGATTTTTGTTTCCTGATTATCCTTCTACCATTGGTTTTCAAAATTCTGAATCAATCGACTAATGATATTATTTTATTGTGTATCCTTATTTTCTTTCCACCTGTTTAAAAATAGCGTCATGATACTTTTCAAAAAAAAAAAAAAGATTACATAGATAAAGCCCTTCACAATTTTTTTGTAGATGTTTCTTGACTACTGCAATCTGCACTTCCTGACACTTTTTTGGGGATTGTTGATGTTCCCCCTGCACAACCAATTTTGACAGAGTTGTATCTATCACTATCATTCTTTTTTGTTTGGTCGATATGTCCTTTTGTCTTTTTAATTATGTAGGTAAATCTGGATACATACTTAAACTAAAATGGATGTGTTCATACCAAATTTCTTTTTTTTCCTTCCCGTGAAGTTCAGCTCCACTGTCATTTTTCATCATCATCATTGATTTCTGCTATGAAGACCAAATTCTAAAGACCTAAGGCAGGTTTAAAATTTTTTTTTTTTTTTATCTCCGGATAATGGTACATTTCTCCTTTTGTTCTTCAATCAATTTTCTTTTTAAGCCTTTCAGGGATAATTTTGTTTTGTTCTATTTTATAATTCCAAGTGCAAATACCACATAATGGGCTTGTTTTCAATTTCACATTTTTTCTATTTCAATTTCAGGTCTTTTGTATTTTTATTATTATTATTATTATTAGAAATAACCGTGAAAAATTCCTGGTTCTCCTATTGAATTTTCTGATGAATGTCAGTTCTTTATGTTAATGAAGGAATAAACTCATGGAAAGTTCTTCAATAATAAAATATCCATACAAATTTCCCTATCGCGTTGTCGAACATTTGAGCTTAACAACTTATAACAAAATATTGCAATTGCAATCATAAATATGAATGCTGGTTAATATTTAAAGAATGAAGGTGATAAAATGAAAATATTTGAAATTGACTTTTTTTTTTACCATTTCACTGAAACAGACGTGAAAAACACGAGTGTTATCGCCTTTTTTTAAATTCCCTTCTTTCTTTCATTTTGCTTACTGAAACCAAGTGTCATCTCTTATTTTTCGTCTTTCTACGCGATCAAAACGGAATGGTCCATTAATTATGAAGTATTGACCGGACGTAACGGCCATTTGTTTGTTTCTTTCTTACTTTCATTTCCCACTGAAACCAAGTAGCGTCTCTGATATGTCTTGTCCATCTTTCCACGCGATCAAAACGGTATAGTGCATTATTTATGAGGCATTGGCGGAACGTGACGTATATACATGTTAACTAAGGAACTAAGCGAGGGGCAAGTAGAATTCTAATAAGATTATTATTATCTGTATGTTAATAGACTTGTACCTATGTATGGTGTGTGGCCGGCTTAGTATCACAGACACCAAGAAGGAAACAGAAAGAGTTTATTGTGTTTTCTTTCTTTTATCTTTCTTTTTCCTCACATTATCGTTCTTTCTTTGTTTCGTTCTTTTATTCTGTTTCTTGATTTCATTTTTTTTCTTAATATCGGGTGCTTTTTAAATTCTTTTGTCGTCTCCATTTTTGCATTCGCGTTTTCTCTGGTTACCGATGTCTTTTCAATCTTTTTCTTGTCATCTTTCTTTCTTTCTTTTTTTGTAATTTCCTAGTTTTTTTTTTGTAATTACTTTCCTTGGTTTTAACTTACTCTTTCTACTCCCTTTCTCATCGACAGGCTATACTCATTCTTTTCTTTTCGATGCTAAATTCTTTCTTTCTTTCTTTCTTTCTTTCTTTCTTTCTTTATAATTTCCTTGTTGATTTTCCTTTCCTTGCTTTTAACTTACTGTCTGTTCTTGCTTTCTCATCTTGAGGCTACACTTCTTTCCTTCTTTTCGATTCTTTCTTTCTTTCTTTCTTTCTTTCTTTCTTTCTATCTTTCTTTCTTTCTACGGTTTTTTCTCTTACCAAAATTCTTCATCCTTTTTCATTTCTTGCGTAATCATCCTTCTTTCTTTCTTTGTAATTTTCTTGTTTTTTTTTTTCCTTCCCTTGCTTTTAACTTACTGATTCTTCTTCCTTTCCCATCTTCACTCTACACCCATTCTTTACTTTATGATTTTAGATTCTTTCTTTCTTTCTTTATAATTTTCTTTGTTTCTTTGTTGTTTTTTACTTTCCTTGTATTTAGCTTACTGTTTCTTTTTCCTTTCTTGTCTTAATGATACACTCATTCTTTTCTTTTCGATTCTAGATTCTTTCTTTCTTTGTAATTTCCTTGTTATTTTTTTTTTATTTTTCATGTTTTTAACTTTCTGTTTCTTCTTCCATTCTCATCTCGAAGCTACACTCCTTCCCTTCTTTTCGATTCTTTCTTTCTTTCTACGGTGTTTTGTCTTACCAAAATTCTTCATCCTTTTTTATTTCTTGCGTAATCATTCTTTCTTTCTTTCTTTCTTTCTTTCTTTCTTTCTTTCTTTTTTTTTTTTAATTTTCATGCTTTTTTTTTTTTTTTCTTCTTGCTTTTAACTCTCTTGAGACTTCTTCCTTCTTTTCATTCTTTCACTTTCACACTCATTCCTTATTTTCATCCTTTTTTTTTTTAGATTCTTTCTTTTTTCTTTGTTTCTTTCTTTTTTTCTAATTTCCATGTTTTTTCTTTTTTTTTTTTTCTTTTCTTTTCCTTCTCATCTTCGTTACACTCATTCTTATTTTGATTTTTTCTTTCTTTTTCTTTTCTTTCTTTTCTTTTTCATATTGCTTTTTCTTTCTTTTGCATTTTTCTTACTTTTCTTTTCCATTTCTATGTTCCTTTTCTTTTTTCCATTCTTTTTCTCTTTTCTTTCTTTGGACACAGAGGAGCGTTTCTATAAAAAGAACGTATAAACATTAAAAAAAATGTCTTAAAATAATTGTCGGACTTTTCATAATGTGTGACGTCATTTGTTTACATTTGGATATGCATCGAGCAAATATGAATGTATGAGAGAAAATCATGGAGAATTAAGATTTAAAAACAATAAAATCGACCTTGCTAACCGAAACGCTCCTCTGTGGCGAAATCGGTAAAACACGTCAGGCTATATGACGGTTCCGCATAGGATGCAGGTTCGATTCCTGTCGGAGGATGCATATTTTGTATGAAAATTTCTCATGCATTTAGACCGGTAAATGTTGTTAATACTGTTTATTATAGATAGAGCATTTACTTAAATATTTGTATCTATAAAAAGAACGTATAACCATAAAAAATGTCTTCATACATACACATTTATATATATATATATATATATATATATAAAATGCTAAAATTATTCGGTAAACCGTATGGATAATTCCAATGGGGATATAGATCCAGAGAGAGCTCAAATAAAATATTACTATTGGTTTAGTCTCCGCTTTCTTAATTATATATATATATATATATATGTGTGTGTGTGTGTATGTTATATACTGTTAGTAACAGCAAAACTGTCCAAATCGTGTAAAAGCAAAATTGTCCATTTCTTAGATTAAGGTTTGAACCATTTTATCTTAGAAATGATTAAAGATATATTACTGGAATTCTCCGAGGTTACTATAACACTATTGGACTCTACTTTAAGCAATAAGAATGTATGATTGCTCTCCAAGCCTAACAGAAGAATGGTGATGAAATCGATCCTAAACGAAAATGACCTGTTCATTATTAATAACCATTAAGTCTTTGTAATTATCCCTACCAATTACAATTTATATTGCTACTTATATCCATAAGTTGATCTCTCGTTCGAATATTCCTTTTGGATTATCTTAATTATCTACGTCTTTACCACCAGATGGATAAGCCTAAACCAGACTGCGTCCTGGATAAGACGATAAACTACGTCTAGCAGAAAGGTCTCTGATTATAGGAGGTTTTGAGGTGCGTGGAACCAACTCTTAATTGCTGATGTTCCCAAGTCCACTCTAACCCAGGGTGGTAACACCTGTTACGGTCCCACCTATGGGCAAATAGTTAACCCCCAAACTGGAATTAAAAGTTTATGAAAGTGTGAAAATAGGTTTTAATACCAGAAATACTTTGTAAAAAATTATTACCAGCAATAAATTTTTGAAGAAAAAAAAAACTATTATCAGCAATACATTTTTGAAAAAATATTACCAACAATGTTTTTAAAAAATAAATATTACTAGCAATACATTTTTGAAGGAAAAATTTTACCAGAATTAGATTTTTGATGAAACAAAATATTACCAGCAATAAAAAATTTGTCGGCATTAAATAACCCATTGAGGTGTTGATATGCCGTAAACCAAAACCAAACTACACCAGACTATGCTCCCATTCCCTACCCTTCCTTAAATTCTTTCACTCTATCACACACAAATAAAATAATTGACCTTATAAAACGATCAAACTGGATAACATATTTTTACTTAACACACCCGCCTCCGACCCATTAAGTTACAAAATGGAAAAATATAATCTAAAATCTCAAAATACTCTACCTAATAATGCAACTTCTAGATCCTTTCAAAGCTGATAAGTTTATCTTTATTAAATAAAAATTATCTTTAGAAAACCATCTAAACAATTCCAATATAAATTAAACAAAGATAATAAACACATCTGAAATTCCAAGAAGATAGGGAGTAAAACCGATAAATCTATAAATATAGAAGAACCTTTTTGTAATCTTTCGATCCACTCGTCAGGAGGTATCAGCATTTGTCTGCCAATTTTCTCATTTTCTTTATTTTTATATTAAGTTAGAAAAATAATTTATGCTTTCTTTATTTGTATGAGGTTGATTTTTTCTTCGTGTGTGTATGTGTGTGTTTATGCTTGTGTTTGTGTGTCTGGGCGTGAGGCTGTACCTGTGCGCATGCGCACATGCGTAAAATGTCGTGGTTATTTAATAATTTTCATTAAAGACCAACTTGATGTTATGTAAGTAACAAGTTCTTTTTTATGAAATTCTACAGCTTTTTTTATATACTTTGGTGTATTTTTATTTTTTCCCTTGAAAACTGGATAAATTTTTCAGTGACTTTAGGCTTTCATAAGTCAATTAAAGGGAATCGTTTTTCAAATGCAAAGTTGCCAGGACAATAATGTTTTCCTTAGATTTTTTTTCCAGTTCTTCTCATAATGTTTCCAAAGATTATTATAATAAGTTCTTTGTACATTCCGTATTATCCTTTCAAGTAAATTAAAGGATTTTTTTAAAAAATTAAGCCTAATTCAGTTTTGAAAGGATTAATTAATGGTTATTTTAGATTATTGTCCCAATTAGACTTGTGTCCTTTAAAAAGTAAATATAAATTCTTTATATGAGTTTTTCCCATTTTGTCTGCAATATCAAATTTATTAACAAAATCAGCAGCATCATTATTAATTAAAGAAATAATGTTGTCTTTTTTATAAGTATTAGTGATTTTATTGAGGAGTTTGTGATTGTTCGAGGGTTCAATTTTGTAAATATTTTTAGATTTATCGACTTTAATCCAAATCTAATTTGCAAAAGGAAAAAAAATATAATCTAAAATATCAAAATACTCCACCTAATAATAACATTCTAAATCCTTTCGAAGCTGATGAGTTTAACTTAATTAAAAAATTACTTTTAGAAAACCATCTAACCGATTCCAATATAAATTAAACAAAGATAATAAAAACATCAAAACTTCTAAAATGCGGATTATACCCGAAAAATCTAGAAATATTTACAAAACTGAATTATCACAAACTCTTCCTTAATATAATCACTGTTACTTATAAAAAGCATGAAAAGAATAACACTATTTCTCTAATTAACAAAGGTACTGCTGATTTTGCTAATAAATTTGATATTGCAGATAGAATGGAGTAAACTCATATAAAGAATGTATATTTACTTTTTAAAGACCACAAACCTAATTTTGACAATAATTTACAATCACGATTAATTAACCCTTCCAAAACTGACTTTCGCTTAATTTCAAAATCATAATACAGACTGTACAAGAAACCTATTATAATAATCTTTGGAAATATTCTTCGAAAATGGTTCCAGAATATTAAAACTAGAAATAAGGCTACTTTTATCCAATTTGACATTATAGATTTCTACACCTCGATTTCAAAAAATCTATTATTAAAAAGTTAAAATTTTGCTAAAAACTATATTAACGTTACTGATGATGAAATCGAAGATATCTTAGCTTCCAAACATTCTTCACTAATATACAACAATTCTACTTAGGTTAAAAGTCTTAATGATAACTTTGAAGTTCCTATGGGCACATATGACTCCGCTGAAATTGCTGAATTACTATGTATCTATATATGAGACACTCTTAGTAGAATTATTGATCTTCAATAAGTAGGTTTTTACAGAGATGATGGACTTATTTTCATCCAAGATATAAATGGTTTTCTGTCTTCTAGAATACAGAAAAATATTATAAGGGCTTTAACAATTCCTAATTTTAAAACTGAAATCTCATTTAATCCTTAAAATAGTTAATTTCTTAGATATCCCTTTTAACCTTTCTACGAACACATTTAAGCAATTTCACAAAGACAATCAAACTCCTATTCATATTAATGTCAACTCCAGTCACTCAATAATTAGACAAATCCGTAACACTTTAAACACAATAATTAATAGATTATTGTCTAAAAAAATCTTCAGTGAGAATAAAATAACGAAGTCGTTAATAAGTGTAATTTCAAAGAAAAATTTGTTTACCAGGAATCTTTGAAAAACAATGAAACTAAGAGAACTAAAAGCGTAAAAAGAAAAAAAAAATATGGTTTAACCCATCATTCTGTCAACTGTCTAATGTAAATATTGGCAGATATTTTTCTAAATTTCATCGACAAACATTTTAATCACAATAACCCTCTACAATGATTTTCGATAGAAAAAGTAAAAATTATTTATTACTGCACTAACAGCATCATTGACTCACATAACAACAAAATATCAAAAACATTTTATGACGGTAACACACCAGAAAATAAGCCCTCTTGTAATTTTAGAACCGGAGCCAACTACCCAGTTGGAGGTATTTGCAATTCGGAAAATGTGGTATACAAAGCTACGATTCCCCACCCCCAAAAAAATATTAATAATAAAAAGAGTTTGCATAGGGATATCCACTTCTAGTTGGAAATAGAGACTCTGCAATCATCGGCATTACTTTCTTTTCTTTCTTTCTCTCTCTCTCACTCCCTGCCCTTTCTCCCCATCTCTCTCTTTCTTCCTTTAATTTTTTATATTTGTAAATTTTAATTTTGCTTTCTTCTTTTTTTCATTATTGAAATGTGGCCTTTTTTCTCTCTTTCCTTTCTCCTTTTAATACCGATATATCTGTCTGGATGGACTGATTCCATTTGTAAAAAAAGACTTTCGGTCTGAAGAGATGAATATAAAAATATTCATGAAATAAATTATAACCGAGATGGATTTCTAAGGTTTATGTTGATTTATCATTATATATATATATATATATATATATATATATATATATATATGTGTGTGTGTGTGTATGTGTGTGTGTGTTATTAGATGCTCTGTTTTTATTTATTTGACCGTGTATTTAATTGTTTCTATCTACCGGCGTATTTTCTAACAAGATTTCTCGAATATTCAGACCGGTTGATGGAAATAAATGAATATCATGTTTAATAAATAAATAAAAACAGAAATTATATATACGCGCGGGTTTTATTTTAGTGACTACACAAGTTTTTATTGGTATCCTGTTTTTTTAAACAATGGAATTAACATCAAATGCTTTAGATCTTAGAACATTTTCTTAAAGAAAATACATCTCACAAGAATGATCGAACGTCTATTAACTTTTATCACAGAAATTACGTTTTAGACAGGTGTGCATTTAAACCTCGGCCATGCAGGTCATTATAATGCGGAAAACCTCAAATGCCTTTTTAAAGAGCATTATTTTTTTTTTTTTTTTTAGTCATTTCACCCCAAGCAATGCAATAAAGCCACCAAGACGCAAGGGATTGTTGAATGTGAAAGAATATGATGGAAAAAGCATAATTGAGAACAGACATTAACAAGAAGATAACAATTGGTACTGCTTTTAAATTTTTGGAATCTGAAAGAATATTCCACAAGACGTAAGTGTTTAAGAAGAAAACATTGGCACAAAACGTACGGTTATATCTATCCATTTAAACTGTAATCTGGCGAGACCATTCCACTTATCAAATACTGCGCTTAAATTCATAAAGTTTAAGTAACGTAGAGGAAAGTTCATTAGAAATATTGCCATAAAAAAGTTTTTATAGAAAGTTCACAAAAAAAATCTACATTGCGATGGTAGAAAAATGACTAAAGCCGAGATGCCCGGCCAGGACCAATAATATTACATATTCTTCTTTGAAATTTTATCTCTAAATACTTAGCAGAAGCACCAGACCAGATTTGACAGCAATATTCAAAGCAAGGACGAATGGTAGCCATATAAATGTGTATGATTCTGTCGAGAAAAAATGATCTAGTACGACACCGTTAACCTATCAACAGACCTAGCAATTGATTCAATATAATCTTTCCACTTCATGTCAGAGGAAAACATTAACCCAAGAAGGCTCAATGTGTCACTCTCCTGGAGGTTAGCATCAGCCATACCGATGGAAGTCAAAAAGCGTATTGAACTGTATTGAAATACCAGTGAAAATTTCTTGGTTCTTCTATTGAATTTTCTTATGAATTAACCGTATTGAACCGAGCAGACTTGCTAATATAACAGGAGGAAATATTTGTGTTATCAGCATAGATACCGAATTAAGAATTGTTGACATCAGATTGATGAAAATTATGAACACCTGCATTAATGTAAAAAAAAGATCTAGAAGAGTGGCCGTTCAAGAGAACCTTCATTTTGCAATTTGATACAAAAGACTGAATCAGTTACAAAATTCATCCAGGAATACCATAATCTTTGAACTTGAGAAGAAGACCAGTATGTCAGACACTGTCAAATGCCTTCAAGATATCTAAAGTTAAAGCCGAGCTTCACCATTCTTATCTAAAGCCTAATACGGCAGAAGTTGACCTTGAGTAGCGAAAGCCATATTGCTTATCCGAAAGAAGACGCTGCGATGTCAGATGTTTAACCAATTCAGAGTTGATTAGAACTTTTAGCACTTTGCGAGGATATAGTAGAATAAGGACAATAGTTAGAACGATCAATCGGATCGCTTTAGTTCTTAAAGACGAACTACAGAAAATGATTTCCAACATGAAAGAGGAAGGCATTTACTGTAAAGTTTAGAGAAAATAAAAATCATTTCTAGGGCACATTTCTTAGGGGCTATTCCGGGGTCACCATCAAGTCCACATGGTTTGTGGGTATCCAGTTTAGAGATGTTTTGTGATGTCAACAAATACTTGTTGTCACTTTTGGAATGTCAACGGTTATTCGTTGCCAATTTTGAGATGTCAACGATTACTCGTTGCCACTTTTGGGATGTCAACGGTTACTCGTTGCTACTTTTGGGATGTCAACGATTACTCGTTGCTACTTTTGGGATGTCAACGATTGCTCGTTGCTACTTTTGAGATGTCAACGATTGCTCGTTGCTACTTTTGGGATGTCAACGGTTACTCGTTGCTACTTTTGGAATATCAACGATTGCTTGTTGCTACTTTTGAGATGTCAACGATTGCTCGTTGCTACTTTTGAGATGTCAACGATTGCTCGTTGCTACTTTTGGGATGTCAACGGTTACTCGTTGCTACTTTTGGGAAGTCAACGATTGCTCGTTGCTACTTTTGGGGTGTCAACGTATGCTCGCTGTCACTTTCGTAATGCTCGTTGTAGGAGAGATCTTGTTATCGACGATACAACTATAGTAACGCCGTTGAACAACGCTGGTATCAGACGCCTTCAAATACGACTCGCACTTACAGTATTTGCTCGATAACACTCGCTCGAACAGTGATCCGTATAGTGATCCGAAGAAAGGAATAGTATGGTGAATAGAATAGAGAATAGCGGTACGTATACAATAGAGGATAGAGCCGAAATGGTGATCCGTATAGTAATAGAGGATAGAATAGAAATAACGAGCCGAATACTAATAGAGGATAGAATAGAAATAGCGATCAATTAGACACAGGCTACCTCCCATAAATGTATTTCCTCTATGGTCACGTGGTCTACTTAATTCAATAATGGGAAATGATGGTTTGGTCACTGGCGATCTATGTTCAAACTCAAGTGTCGGCAGCGGCACTTTATTCCTATATAACAAGATGATAGCAGAAATCATTGACAGAGTTATATCACCCAAAAGCGACACACTTCTAAGGGAAATGTCAGGTAAAGATTCTCCAGGTGAGTCATGAGTAGAATTAGAAGAGAATTTACGAGCAAAAATGTTAACACCTCAAATTGAATGAAAAGAAGTGTGTGTGGGGAGATAATTGGACTTATTGAACCCACTATTAGTAAGCCGACAGTTGACACGAGAAAGAAACTTGTTAGTGGCTATACGGTGCCTCATTTTATCAACAAATAAAGACTTAGCCTCTTTGAGGCCATGTTTACAGTTATTAAGAGCAGACACAAAGAGCCGTATGTTATGATCGGAACTCTCACGCAGGTACGCCCGCAAAAAATGATTCCTTTGGGCTATAGTAACTTAGCTGGCAGGTGCGAACCCAAGAGAAGATCGTGGTTTCATTTAATATTTCCAAGAATATACAAGAGCATCGGTGAAGAAGAAACCTTCGTGGCACAATTCTCAATAGAAAGGTTAAGAATATCATTTCCCAAAGCTACAAAATGGATCCCAAGCAGTTTGCTGGTAACAGAAATAAGTCTTGTGAATAGAAGGTTTCTGTCTAAGAGACGTCTCAAAAGAAATATCAACAGATAATACAGCGTGATGCGAATTGCTAATTTATACTCAGCACCTGAAGAATGACACACACACACACATACACACGCATATATATATATATATATATATATATATATATATATATATATATATATAGAGAGAGAGAGAGAGAGAGAGAGAGAGAGAGAGAGAGAGAGGGTAGATAGATAGATAGAAAGGAAATGAAGAGTGTGATAGATCGTCGTGTTATCGGTGAGGGACAATATATATATTTATTAATATATACTTAATAGCTCTGTTGTATTACATCGAGCACTATTTTATTAAAAAAAACTATATATATATATATATATATATATATATATATATATATATGTAACAGCGTTTCCCCTTGCAAAGGGTGGTTAATTGATTTGAGCCTTTTAAATTCAACATCATCACTTGATAAGACACCAGAGGTGTTGAAACAAAATGGCTTTTTTGTAGTGATTTTATAACATAATTTATGTTATAATTTTCGAATAAATAATTATATTTGCTATACTCTGTATTGAGCACTCTTATAAGAATAGTAATTGTTTTGGTTATTGGAATTTATTCTGTATACACCAATCCTATATTTAGGTATATATATATATATATATATATATATATATATATATAATTAAAATTAAGAGAAAAGAGAGAGAGAGAGAGAGAGAGAGAGAGAGGAGAGCGAGAAAGAGACGGATTCCTTTAATACTTAATTTTTTCAATCACTATCTCTGTATCTATCGGTATAATTATACACACACGCACACACACACACACACACACATATATATATAGATATATGTGTGTGTGTGTGTGTGATTGTATGATGTCAGAATCCTTTGATGTCACAAATGGCACCAAGAAAGATTGTATCATGGCCCCTGTCCTTTTTGCCCTTTTCTTTTCGATGATGCTGAAATATGCATTTGCAGACACAGAGAGCGGCGTCAAGTTTCAGTTTCAAACAACTGGTGGTCTCTTCAATCATCAGCACTTCAAAACCAAGACCCACCGTAGTACGCAAAGTATTCATGATTTGTTGTTTGCTGATGATGCTGCCCAACATCTAATAAATCCTTTCTCTGCTGCATGTAAAGCATTTGGTCTTACACTTAGCATAAAGAAAACTGGAGTAGTGCACCAACCTTGTCCTACTCCGAAGCAATTCTGTGGTGAGAAACAAAAACCACCAGTCTACAAATTTCCAGAGAGACCATTGAAAGTAGAAGACGAATCCCTGAACTATGTAAAGT